TCACCTTTCCTTCCAGGCCCCTTCACCTCCCGTCTGCCTCCAGGTCTCGTCTTACCTTATTAGATCCAAAGAAGACACACTCCTTTTTCACGCCACCCAAACTTCAAGTCTCATTTCCTTCTTCCTGCCCTGACAAGTGCGGCCCACACGAACCTCTCTTTCCTGCGTGCATGGCAGCAGCACCGCACAGCTTTCCACTTGGTCTGCTCCTATGGTGGGCAGCTGATTTCACAGTGCACGAGTAACGGGGAGACAGCGGAGAAGGAAGGGGGTCGCTTGGCACAGCAGTGAGTACTCCTGCTTGCTCTGCTCCCTGGGGAGCTCCTTCTACCCCGAGTGGGGCCCCAGTCTGCCAATCTGTTCCCTGTAAACTCCTTGAAGAGAAGCCCATCTGTGTCCACTCTGTCCTAAGCCCTCAGAGGGGAGGTCTGCCAGGGGAACTAGAACACAGCCATTGAGGAAACCCACACAGCTCCTGGTACTAAGGCATCTCTACCTATATCTATAACAGGGTCCACCCAGCAAATGCAAGAGATTCCTCCTATTAGAACTAAGCGATGACTGAAAATAAGAAACACATACATGTACATCTCCAACAATAGATATGTAACTAAAAATTAAATCCCATTCACAATAGGGTCAAAACCAAAACATGAATTTAGTAAGAAATGTAATAAAGAAGAAAGCCATAAAACTTCACCCAAGAATATAAACTAAGCCCTACGTAAGGTAAGACACCAACAACCTTCGTGGCTGGGGAAAATAAATAACACAAAGACATCAATTTGCCTGTTAATCAATAAATGCTTTCAATTCCAATAGAAATATCAGTGGTATATTTTGGAACTTGATAACCATAAAGTTGATCTGAAAGGATGAATTTGTGAAATCAGCTAAGAAATTCTGGGGGAAACTTAGCCTTTAAGAATATGAAAGGGAACTTAGCCTTTAAGAATATCAAAATATGAGAATATGAAAACTGAAGTAAGCTGAGTAGCTGTGTTGCTGGTACCACAGATAGAATCCAGCATAGGCAAAGGAGGGAGCCCTGGAACTGAGGAGAGAATCTACAGTCAGGCGACGTTTCAAACCAGTGGAGAGGACTTGGATTATTCCGTTACTGGTGTCTTCATTCCACAGGTGTCCATGTGTGCCATCCAAAGTGTCAGGCACTTCCTAGGCACTGGGGCTACAAGAGTGAATGAGACCCAGTCCCACACGCATGAAAATTTTCTTCTAGTTGGGGAGACAAGTAGTAAACAATTGAATAAATGAAGTATAGACTGTAATAAATACTAAGGAGGAAGTAAACAGAGCCTTTCAATAGCCAAAATATGGAAGAGACCACTTTAGATACATGTTGGGACAACGGGGTGTCCATTGGGAAAAATGATAAACCTATAAACCTCCAAACACGAAACTATACAAGTTCTGGGAAAATATTCAAATTTCGACTTTTCATCATTTTGGAGAGAAGAGGGTTTGCCCAAGCATAACATGACACCCAATATCCTTAAAGGAAAATATTAACATTGTTGATTACCTAAAATAAATAACTTCTATGCCATAATATACACCACAAAAAAAATTTAAAGAGACAAGACGCCAGGTGCTAAGAGAAAATATTAACAAATATCTAAAAGAGGAATCAAGTTTATAAAAATAATAGGCAAAAATCATAATGTATAAGTAGAATTTTAAAAGACAAATTACTCAGTTAAGATGGATAAAGGATATGAAGAGGTACAAATGGCCAACATATGCAAAGACACACAACCTCACTAAATCACCTAAACTTACACGCCATTGAGATTCCCTTGTGGCTTAGCAGATGGGCGAGACTTTAATATTGAACACATTTACATCATTGTAATAGCTGATGTTGTCAAGATGAAGTTTAGGAAAGAGAAGAGTCACATTAATACTGTTTAATGGGAATGTAAATGGATACAATCACAAGAGAATAATTTATCAACATGTTAAAAATGTATACCCATTCCTCCCCCCCCAAAAAGTATTTCTACAAGTTAACTGAAATATTAGCAGAAACGTGCAAAGGTACGTAAAGATGGGAATGTCCCTTGCAGACTTATGTAAAATATAACAATAGTGAAAAATAACAATGTCCATTTCAGAAAAAAAATGTATATGTTCATAATATAGTATTAAGTGAAGAAAGAAAGTTATAAAAACTACGTAAAATATGGTTCCATTTGGGAGAGGAAACGTGTGTGCACATTGAATAAAAGCCTGGAAGGATATGAACCAAAACTAATATCAAGTGAAAAGCTCTGGAAAGAAGATTGGTTTCTGTGAGAGAGACTTTTTAAATATTCAATACGTCTGTATTGTTTGCCTTGAAGTACATCTTATTTTTATAATTTAAAAAAGATATTTTTGAAAGGAAGTAGTGATGAATGGATTAGAGAGCCTGGAACAGAAAAAAGGACATCAGTGGGAAAACTGGAGAAATCTGAATAAAGTCTGGAGTTGAGTACCTCGTAATGCACCAACGTTGCTTTCTTGGTTGTGACAGATGCACCAAGGTGGTGAAGGGGCTGTGAGAACTCCCTGTGTTATCTTGCAACTTCTCCCTAAGTCTAAAATTATTCCAAAATTCAAATCGATTAGAAGAAAAAGAGAGAGTTATACAGGCTCATACCCAAGACAGCCTGGGCAGCTGGAACCGTTTCGTTGAGGAAGAATTCGGGTTCCTACCGGTGTCTGTCTGTGGCCAGTGAGCGCCCCTTTCATGGGGACCCCTGCCTGGCCGCCTCAGGTCGGCAGGGATTATCTAAGGCAAGCCCGTGTTTAACTCATATCCTGAGTTCCGCTCTGAGGAAATGAAGGTGTAGGCTCACCCTTCTCCCCACCTCAGCGAGGCCAACTTCTCAGAGACCCCGCAGCAACCCCTGCCCTTTAGCCCCTACTCCTTTTTTTTTTTTTGAGACTTAGTTTTTTTAGAACAGATTTAGAGTCACAGCAAAATTGAGAGGCAAGCACAGAGATTTCTCAGATAGCCAGCCCCTGCCCCACACAGGCACAGCCTCCATCATGATCAGTGTCCCCAACCAGAGTGGTACATTTATTACAATTGATGAACTTACATTGACACATCATGATTACCCAAAGTACACAGTTTTCATTAGGGTTCGTTCGATGTACATACATCCTAGAGGTTTGAACAAATGTATGGCAGCATGCATTCACCATTATAGTGTCGTAAGAGTATTTCCGCCTCTCTGAAAATCCTTGGTGCTCCACCTATTCATCCCGCCCACTCAGTCCCTGCAACCACTGATCTTTTTACGACCTCCATAGTTTTGCCTGTTTCAGAATGTCATATAATTGGAATCATACAATATTAGACTTTTGAGAACGCCTTCTTTTACTTGGTAATATGCATTTAAGTTTCTTCCATGTCTGTTCATAGCTTGATAACTCATTTCTTTTTAGTGCTGAATAATATTCATTTTTTTTTTTTTTTGGATATACCACAGTTTGAATAGTCATTCATTCACTTACTAGAGGATATTTTGGTTGTGTCCTAGTTTGGGCAATTATGAATAAAACAAACATTCGTGTGCAAGTTTTTGTGGGAACATAGTTTTCAGTTCATTTGGATGAATACCAAGAAGTATGATTACTGGGTCATATGGTAAGAGTATTTAGTTTTATAAGAAACTACCATCTGTCTTCCAAAGTGGCTGTACCATTTTGCATTCCCACGAGCAGTGAGCGAGTGTCCTTGCTGCTCCACATCCTCGTCAGCATTTGGAGTTGTCAGTGTTTCAGATTTTGGCCTTTTTAATAGGTGTGTAATGGTATCTCATTGCTGTTTTAGAAGCACCTTTTCATATACTCATTTGCTATTTGTGTATCTTCTTTGGTGATGTGTCTGGTAAGGTATTTAACCCATTTTTCAATCAGGTTGTTTGTTTTCTTATTGTTAAGTTCTAGGAATTATTTGTGTATTTTGGATAATAGTTCTTTATCAGATGTGTCTTTGGCAAATATTTTTCCAAGTCTGTGGCTTGTCTGCTCATTCCTTTGTCATTGTCTTTTGCAGAGCAGAAATGTTTAATATTAATGACTTCCAACCATCAGTCGTTTTTCATAGACCCTGTCTTTGGTGTATCTAATAAGTTATACCATACCCAGAGTCATCTAGGTTTTCCTTCCGAGAGTTTTCATTTTATGTTTACATTTAGGTATGTGATTCATTTTAGTTAATTTTTGTGAAGGGTGTAAGATCTGTCTAGATTCATATTTTTGCATGTAGATGTCCAGTTCCAGCACCGTTTGTTGAAGGGACTGTCTTTGCTGCATTGTGTTGCCTTTGCTCCTCTGTCAAAGATCAGCTGACTGTATTTATGAGGGTCTATTTCTGTGCTCTCTGTTCTCTTCCATTGACCTATTGTCTATTCTTCACCAATGCCACACAGTCTTGATGACTGTAGCTTTATTTTAAGTTTGACTTCAGATAGTGTTAGTCTCCTGACTTTTTTCTTCTTCAATATTATGTTGGCTATTATGGATCTTTTACCTCTCCTTATAAACTTTAGAATCAGTTTGTCAATATCCGCAAAATAACTTGCTGGAATTTTGATTATTTGGTTTTTTTACCTAGATTCTTTATCTAACCTAGACCCTACCTCCTCCCACTGGGGACCCAACATCCGCTTTCCATTCTAGAATGGCATGGATTTGGACACAGGAGTGAGGTCTGGGGCTGTGTAGAGTTAAAGAGGCAGGTGGGATTTGACAGTGGCAACACGAAGCTCGTAATAACAAAAAGGATGCACAAAATCTACACCCCTCGCCCTTGTTGCCATTGCTAGTGACCTCAATGGGAGGAGCAGACTGGATGGGAATTACGAGGACACTGCCAGACACTACTTTCTGCAAGTCTTTCTTAGGTTTATGAATTCCCTGACCAGAAGGCCTTGGAAAGAAGGGGCCGAGCCCCATGTGACTGCCTGCCTCCTCTCTCTGTCCAGGCTCCACTTCCTGGTGTTTGACACAGAGGAGGTCCATGACGTGCTGCGCATCTGGGATGGGCCCGTGGAGAGTGGGGTTCTGCTGAAGGAACTCAGCGGCCCGGTGCTGCCCAAGGACCTGCACAGCACCTTCAACTCGGTCATTCTGCAGTTCAGCACCGACTTCTTCACCAGCAAGCAGGGGTTTGCCGTTCAGTTCTCAGGTCTGTGCTTGTCCTCTCTGTTTGTCCTGCTACATGATGCCAGCCTCCCTTCCTCCTTCTTCAAGTCCCTCTTTCCCCCCGCATCTCTCCACTTGTGTAAAGACGTTTATTGAACATCTGTCGTGTGCGTGGTACATGGTAAATGCTTGTTTAGATATCATGCTGCTCTTACTTGGTGTGGGGGAAAGACAGGCAGGTTAATACACACTTATGTACAAATTGATAAGTATCTGGAAGACGAAATATAAACTATGATGCTCACCTTGGAGCCTCCAGGAAGATGTTCCAGGAAAGATGATGCCCCAGCTCAGACCTGAAGGCAAGTAGAGATTACAGGAGAAAAGATGGTGTTTCAAGAAGGAAGTAGTCAACTATGACATGGGGTTGGCATTACCACTGAGTGGGACTTTGGAGCATTTTATGGACGCCTATTAGATGAAAAAGGGAGAAAAGGGCATCGTAGGGGCAAAGAGCACATGAACAAGTGCAGAGGCAGGATAACAGGTTCAGAAGTGGAGGGTTGTCCACTGGGGCTGAAACATGGGGAGCGTGGAGGGAATCAGGGGAGCTACAAGGTGGCAGTGGTTTGGGATGTGGTTATGGAAAAACTGGTCTGGCCTGACGCACAATCCGGTTCTTAATTTAGTAAAGGTCTGTTGGCCAAATGTGAGTAATCTAAAATCAATTAATTATGTACTGCAGTAGCTAATTATGGAGGAACATGACAAAGAGCCACCAAAAATGGGCAATGCTCAAACATTAAGTCCCAATAGTAGATAATTTCTATGATTGGTCCTGCCTCTCCCTGTGATGCATAATCTCATCTCCTCTCAAGTGCCTCTTCCATCACTCATCTGCCTGCACAAGTGACTCTGCCTTGGTTTGTGCTTATGTTTATTATACAGCAGCTGTCTTCATTACCATCTCCTTACTCCACTGTCTGGGTGAGGCGGGTTTCCATGGTGATTCCGGAGCAAGCCATGGCTCTGCCTCCACAGTCTCACCTGGTTGGTGTATCAGCTAAGGATGGTCGGGTATATCTCCAGCACCAGTGAGGCTGTAATAGGGTTACAGACCCTACTTCTAGCTCTTTTATGACCCATCTTCTCCATATTGATGAACATTTAGCAGTATGTGGGGTAGATGAGAGTCTCCAGGGTCAAGTTCATTTATACTTGTTAATTTGCCCACTTAACATTCATGCAGGCTTCCAGCCTAGTGAGGAATAGCTCCTTGCAAGGTTCATTGGGGATCTTATTTGAAATCCTGGCACTCATTCACCCGTGGAGAGAGTCCCTGGGGACCACTGAGTAACACTGAACTTGTCTAAGATGAGGGTTCCAGAATGGGACAACAAGGGAGTCATATTAGATAAGCATTTTCCGACATCTGTACCCTGGGGTTCCATAGACCATTAATTGGTATTGCAGATAAAAGAAGTTTGCATGATCAAGTTAATGTTGGGAAGGTGCTTAGGTCGAGGCAGACCTAAAGAGGTTGTCTATAATTCGAGGCCTCTCAGAACTTTTTATCTCCTAATGCAGATAAATTCAGAAAGTGTTGGTAGGTCACAATTCCCAAACATATTGGGCCATGGATGACTTATTTCTAGGCCATCTCAAGAGACCAGCACTTCATGGAACAAACTTTGAAAATTGCTGGTATAAGCAATAGAAGGATCTCCCAGCAGTGAGGAGAGTAAAGAGACGACTTCGTTCACATTCTGGGGAAAGAAGTATTATGAATAATTAAACTAGACATTTATTTTCTCTGACCCTGCCCAAGCTGATGAGTATGGCTTTAAAAAAAAAAAAAAAAAAAAAAAGAAGCCCATAATTGTACTGAAAATTTCCCGCATGGATTTTTGCATTATTTTTCCTCCACTGTGTCCTCGGTGTTGCCACATGGGACAGAGTCCCTGGGCACTCTCATGAGCCGTGCCTTTGCCCAGCAGCTCCGGCTGCTTCCTCATGCATTGCCCAGCTCTTAGAAATACTATTGCTCCTTCAAGGTTCATCTCAGATGCCACTTCTTCCTAATAGCCCCATTCAGAATAAATTGCTATAGCTCGTGGCACCCCCAGCACTTTACTCCCGACCCTTCAGCACTTTATCAATTCCAGACACTCTGTTTGCTATTGGAGCTGGCCACCTTCCTGCCATGCCACAGAAAGCTCTTAGAGCGTAGGGGCCACGTTGTGCCAGTTGGCCTCCTCCACGGGGAATGCATGCAGCAGGTGCTCACTCACTGCTTACTGAACAATTGGGCTCATGGAGACGTGAACAAATAAATGGATGGTTTTCTCTAACACGAGGTTTTCCTTGGGCGAGCCACCCAAGAAAAGCATTGCTTAGATCCACAGGGAAGAGAGTGGACTCCAGGAAGGCCGTGACAACCTGGCCTAGAGTTCTGGGTGTAACCGCGGTTCAGGAAAGGTCAACTTCCCTGTTGCTGTCATTGGTTAGCAAATACCAGGACTACACTAGGGAAGAGAGAATGGCTCACCCCATGTTAACTTTATAGTGTGTGTTTGACAGGGGATTGTACAGAAATGCCAGAGACGATTAGTGCAGGCTTGGCTTTATTAAGTAAACATAACTGTGCAACATTTAACATCCTGTCTGTACCACGTGGATCCAGCCTTTCCCCAGGGGCTTTGCCAAGCAGCTCAAATACAGGAGCATTAAAGAGAGAAAGCGAGAACAAATAAAGGTAAGGGAGAGCACCAAAGGAGAGGAAAGCATAATCACTGCCATCTATCGAGCAGGCACCACACTAAGCTCTCTACTACACTCTCTCTTATAATTTTCACAGAAACCATAAGGTTTAAGCACCATTATTAATTCATGTTGCAGATGTGGGCTCTGAAGCCCAAAGAAGTTTCTCCTACAAGGTCATCTAGTTAATAAGTAGCGGGGCCTGGATCAATACCCCTGTGTCTGGTTCCCAAATCCAGGCTCTTAATCATTGCGCTCTATTGCCTCCCATATAAATAATCTTTCTGAGTATGGTCCGAACAGTGAGCTATTTTTCTTCCAAGGAATAATTTACATGTGTACAGTGCACTGGAAAGCCAGAGATGAAAGCTAAGTCTGTTTTTAATTGGGAAGGAAGATTGATTCTTATTTGGCTTTATAAATAAATTCAGAAAGTGTCAGATGGTGATGATTTGTTCATTTATTTGTTCATTCGACAAATATTTACTGAGCACTACTGTGTGCTGGGTACTGTTCTAGGCCCTAGGGAAGCAAAACAGCCACGGTCTCTGTTCCCACAGAGATGCACAGTGATATACAATAGAGAGGCAAACAAATAAATTATCAAGATTATTACAGATTGTTCTATGAAAAGAACAAAACAGGATAATATGATAAAGTTTATGGAAGAGGGTTAAAGGATGAGCCCAGAAGAAGGTGATCAAAGAGGCCTGTCTGAAGAGGTGGTACTAGAGCTGAAAACTGAATGACAAGATGGAGCTGGCATAAGAAGATCTACGACAGGGTCATTCTAGGCAGAAGGACCAGCACATACAAAGGCCCCGGGGGTAGGTGGGGAGAAGGCTGAGCTTGCCGTGTTGGAAGAAGATTTTATAAATGTGGCTAGAGCATAGTGATAGCGAGTCATTGATGGTGTTAATGATCGAAACTGGATAAAAGCAAAAGGTAAAAAATAATCTCAAAAGAGGAGGGCTTTAGGTACCATATTCCAGTAATCAACAAACTTTCTCCTTAAAAAAGTAAATATTTCAGGCTTTATGGGCCATATGATTTTTGTCTTATTAACTGAACTCTGCCATCAAATCACAAAAGCAGCATAGACCATATGTAAACAAATGAGCGTGCTTGTGTTCCAATAAAGCTTAATTTGCAGCAATAGGCATAGAGCCAGATTTGGCTGTGGGTATATTTTGTTGTATACTGTCTTAGGTGTGACTGAGTATAAGGTATTAGATACTATAACTCCAGACTTGTCTATACAATCCTAGATCTTATAATTAGTGATATGAGTATGTACATTTCTCTAGGCTGTTGCTTCTCAAACTTTTCCACTGAAGTCCTCCTAATAGCAGAAGAGAGTGAATGCCTAATTTCAGATCTGGAGGGTGCAAGACCCATAAAATCTCTTTGAGGCTTCGTGTTTTTGCTTAAGAAGAACTATTATGAATGTTACATTCTACTCCATAATAAATTCATTTATTTTAGTGTAAAAGTGATTTTTCCCAAAATTTTTAAGAAAAACTGACCCTCCAAGCAAATGAATATTATTGATCCTGTGGCCTCCAGAACCTCCTGGGGCCTGCCGACCGGTCTATAAACAGACTTAAGTGGGGACTATGGAGACAGCTGGAGTTGTTCAGCTGCCTCAGAACCCTTTCTCTGGATTTTCTCCTATACCATTTCCTTTGGTGCGTTTTCTCATGCTTCGCTCATTCATTCACTCATTCTTTTATTCCCTTATTTTTTCCTATCATTTATTTGATGTTCACTTTTAAAACACCTGCTTTGGATTACACATCTCCAAAATTCCTGAGTTTTTTTTTTTTATTTTTTATTTTTTTTAATTTTTAAAACATCTCAGCTACTTGTATTTGTTTTGAACTCTACTTTGTTTTGAATGTCAGATTTTTCTTTGGTTCCAGCCTGATGGTTCTTTGATTGTTTGCCAAGGGAGAAAGAATATGGCTTTTACCCGACTGAGTAATTCCATGCAACTTCACAGCCACTGCTCAGTGCTCAGGCAGCCAACTTCCGAACTCCTTTGCAGCCCCTTCTGATTGGATTTGGAGTTTATACTTAATTATGTTGTCACTCCCATATACTGATCATGTAGCTACATTATACAAAATTATAAAGCTTATCTATGGATCAAGACTTGTATCGTTCAATCAAACTAAACTCAGTTCTTTGATTATAGCAGTGTGATCACATTTAACTCATAATGTGTCGTGGTAGGTGGATGGCAGTGATGGTAAAGATACCGGTAGAATAGGTGTTGGTCACAAGTGGTGGTGGAGGTAGTGACAGTAATGGGGGTGAGGATGGAGACGGTGGCACTGTGGCCACAGCTGATGACACTGGTGGGAGGTGACAGAGAGGGAGGCAGTGGCACCGGTGTTGAAAGTTGTGATGTCAGTGAGAGTGATGCACTAGGAGCCTCATTGTCGGGCAGACAGCGAGGCAACCCCACTTTCTCTTCTGTTTTCTTGTCCCAGTATCCACAGCAACATCATGCAATGACCCAGGGGTCCCACAGAATGGGAGCCGGAGTGGCAACAGTTGGGAAGCTGGTGACTCTACGGTGTTCCAGTGTGACCCTGGCTATGCCCTGCAGGGGAGCGCAGAGATCAGCTGTGTGAAGATTGAGAATAGATTCTTCTGGCAGCCCAGCCCACCAACGTGCATCGGTACAAAGCAGCTGCAGTGTGAACCCTGCCCTCTGCCCTCAAGTCACCACTTGAGTGCTCCAGAACCCCCACCCACATAAGTGGCAGCTGCATCTTGAGCCTGGATAGGAGAATTGGGACAGTTAAATGTTGCAGAAAACCCCATATTTACTCTGTTTTGCATGCACATACACTCACTCACATTCACACACTCACACTCTGCACATTACAAATTCTTCAGTCTCCAAAATGGTCCCTAAGATTTCTAAGCTAGGCATGTCTGTTCCTTTTCTCCTGGCCTAGGATGTACAGGTTGGAAGGGGCACAATGGGTCATCTTGGGTAGCCGGGTCAGCAGGTTCCGAAATGACCCTTCCATTCCTGAAGCACTTAGAAGGGTACGCACAGGCTCAGGTATAAAGGAAAAAACCCTGTTCTCTCTCTTTTTCGAGGAAATTATTGGTTATCTGGATGCTGGTTCTCTAGATCTGTCCTCAGTCTTAAAATCTCCCCATTTGACAGATGAAGAAATGGGGATTCTGAGATGTGTCCAAGGTCATGTAGCTTGTAGGGGCTGGGCCTGAATAATCTTGTTCCCTAGCAACCCGAGACCAAGAGGAGGATGGAACTTGAAGGGAGAGGAGGACAGGAAAGAAAGAGAGAGAGAAAGAAACATTCCAGGTACTCACTTCTACATGGCGCTTTTCTCAGGCAAAATACTGAATGTATTTCTCATGTCAACAATGAGTGTTAGAAGGGAACCAATCGTCATTGAGTCCTTACTGTGTGCCAGCCCCGTAGTGGACACTTATTTATACAACCTCATTTTACTTTCCCTGCAGCTCTCTGTAATGAGCACCATTCCTTCGTTTTATAGTTGAGGAAACTGACACTTACACTAATTTGAATATCATGCCCCAAATCACAGAGCTAGGATATGACAGAACCAAAATTCACAACTGAATGCAGAGCCTTTCATTTTCCTCCTCCCACACTGACTCCCATGCTGCAGATGGGTTCAGGGGACTTCTTGAGACATATACCCCTGTACTGTCCACCCGGGGATGCCTGCACCTCTTGCCACAGAAGCTCATGGGAGGCACTGTCCAGGCATATAAGGACTGGCCTTTGCTCGTCATGCTCTGAGGCCTGGCATTGAAGGTAAGGCCCTAAATCCTGTCCCTCAGTGGTAATTAGGAGTCACCTGGGTATGTGTGACAGGAGCTGGTGCAGGTACAGCAGACAGGAAGTTGAGATCTGGGTTCCAGAACCAGCTCAGTTCTCAACTACATGTGATATGTTGGAAAGAGTATAGGATACTGAAGGAGAGAGATCCACATTTAATTCCTGGCACTGCCACTTACTAGTTCAGTGGCCTTGAGAAAATTGTTTCAACAATTTTTGACAGTTACCTCAGAGGAGAATCAGTTTCCTCATCTGTAAGATAAAAGCAAATACCCTTCCCTCATGGCATTGTGGGGTGAGCACACAACTAATCCTAATATCAAAAAATTCTAATTTCTCTCCTTCCCTCCTTCCTTCCTCTGTCCTTCCTCCCTTTCTTCGTTTCCTTCTCTCAAGGTTTTAGACTCACTTCCCTTCTGTGACCAGAATCTTATGGTCAAGAGAATTCTGATAAGGCCTTGGAGGGAATCAGATGACCTCTGAGGCCCCTTCCGAAATCAGCATTCTGTACAGCGGTGATTCCTTGAGCTTATCTGACAGAAAAGCAGGTCCTGAGACGAGACTGTCCCAGGTGGAACAGGAGGGTTGGCGAGAGCAGTAAATGGGCAGCGAGCAGGGCAAAGAGGTTAATTCCGCTTTCACTGCCCATTGCTCTGCACTGCGAGGCCTGGGGAATGTTCCTCGGGCAACAAAATGAGTGTTTTCGCCTCTTCTCTCAAACAATCTGGAAATCCCAGTGACAAGCCCCTAATTTTCAGCTCTCTTGGCCGTCTGCCATGACTGGTCTGACTGGCCTTGACATCCCTTCATTACAGGGAGGAAGCGAAGGAAGAAAACAAGTATTTACTGCATGTCATCTCCATGGTAGGCAGTGAGCTGGACATAGGCACCGATTGCAGATAGAATCACCATGTGGTTCTAAGTTGAGAACTCAGGTTCTGGACCACCTGGGTTTGAATCTGGTTTTACCACAGAAGCTACGTGACCTTAGACAAATAACTTCTTCCTCTCCTCCCTTATAAAATAAGAGTACCTACCTTATAGGGTTGTTTTGAGGATTACATGAGATAATACTGTAATGCTCTTAGAACAATGCTTGGTTCATTGTAAACACTGTCTGTGTCAGCAGCCATTAGCATCGTTATTTTTGATGTTTCTTTTATAGATGAGGAGATGGAGGCTCAGAGAGGTGGGAGAGCTTGCCCAAACTCTCCCAGCTAGTAAGTGGCATAGTCAAAATGTAAACCTGGGAATATGCAGCTTCCAAATCAATGGCCTTTTTCACGACTCCCACCCCTCAGAACAGCCTGCCCACTTCTTAGCCATCCAGAATGATCCTCTGCCAACTTTGGGAGTTGGGGGAAGAAAACTGAGGGCCGTTTCAGAAACTCCCAGATTCACCCCACCTTGGCAAACTCAAGGGAAGACATCCCTGAGCTGTGACAAAGGGCTGGGCCAGGTAGCCCTGGCCCAAATGGAGGCATCGTTGTGCCTTCTTGGGAAGATCCCTCAGGGAGCTAGGCAGCTGACATGACACAGATTTTCTGCTCTCATTGGCTGTGTCATGCTGTGTTTCTAGGCCAGCCTACATAAGGCCGCTCCTTGTGGACTGGACAGTGTGTTCTTGCTCTGTTAAGTTCCAGGTTTTATCTTGATCACACAGGCCTCTAGTCTGTCCCATTCATCTAACCATCTTATCTAGAGAAGGCTCAGTGGAGAAGGAGTGAGTGAGATACAAGGCAGACCGGACTCAAGGAGCCATCCTTACTCTCATAGATGCTCTTGCACCTGGGGCTTCCCTGCCAGCCCGCAGGTAAGAACAATCCTCCCCACTCCCACTGCCACCAGCAGTTCCAAGGCAATGCAGAAGAATGGGAAAATGACGGACTTTGGAGTCAGACAGATGTGGGTTTGAGTCTGAGTGACTCTGGGCAAGTTACTTAACCTCTCTGAGCCTCAGTGCCTCCTTTTTTAAACCAGGAAGAATAATCCATACCTCAGTGAGTTGCTATGAGACATAAATGAGATAATGTATCCAAAACGTTACAGGTCACATCTAACATTTGATAGGTGCCCATTTGAGTCTTTCTGGCACTCAAGTCGGTTTTTGAGGTATATTTTCCACAGAAAAACACTCTACTCATGACCACTCAGCTGTGTTAGGACTTTTATGGCCTGGCTTGAAGACCTACCGTTTTTTAAGAGACCTTGTTAGGGGTTGATCCAGCCTTTTAAGTGCCACTCTGAGTAAAAGCTGTCCTGTGGGGCAATAAAGATCAGCTTTGTGACAAGCAAGCAGCTGCTGTTAAATTCAGTCTTCTTGGGTACACCCTTGTCTCCTACCTCTATGTCCAGTCTTGTCTTCTCTTAAACAGCTCTCCATGTTCCTGTGGGCTCACTATTTGCCTGCTCCACTGCCAACCTCCGATGGTGCCCTGTCATTTCAGACTGAGCTATATTTAGAGTCTCTGCCATCTTATCCTGTTAATGACCCCATACTCGTCCCAGCCTCCACTTTGTCAAACCCTCATGCTACAGAGCAGTAACCCAGCCAGTTAAGGGAGAACTTCATTCAAGATCTGGGAAGCACCCTGGGGGTGGTTCTATTTGAGTGACTTGCTGTATTGCTGGCCACCTTCCCTCTCACCACCCGCTGGAAAGACCTGTCACCTCAGGGGAGGGAGACCACCATGGACTAATTGGGGATCTTGTAAAATCTCCATACTACTGAGTCATACATGCTGTCTTGGACAAGGTCTTTTGGAAAATTGGAAGGTATCTGCAGCCCCAAGCAGATGCCAAGAACACTGGTAATGTAGGAGGCCAGCAAGCTTGGCAGGTGAACGTGATAATATTTGCCACTCCTCCTAACACTGAGTGCACTAGAACTCTTGGTAATACCCACAATGCTCACCCAGGTACCGGCTGTGAGGCAGTAGGAGGAGACCAGGTATTTCATGTGTCTAAAAGGTGCATGGCGGCTCCAGATATGGACTGCTTGCGATATGCCAAATGCTTTGACATCTCCAAAATCAAATTACCTTTTTTTTTTTTTTTTTTTTTTTTTTTTTTTTTTTTTTGCAATAGAGGGAGAACACTGAGGTCCAGAGAGGTAAGGTCAATTCCCTAAGGTCAGACATTCCTGGCAGAGCTAGGGATTTTGTTTTGTTTTTGAATAATTCCTTGAGGTGACATTCACATAACATAAAATTAACAATTTAAAAATGGACACTTCAGGGACACTTAGTACATTCATAATGTTGTACAACTAGCACCTCTAATTCCAAAACATTTCCATTGCTTTAAGGTAAAACCTCATACCCGTTACATCCCACCCTCCTCTTGGCCCCCAAAGCCAGGTACTAACTTAGGTGTATTGGTCCTTCCTCTACTGTGCCTACGAATAACCCTAAAAACATGACCCGCAAAGGGATCAGTCTGACCTTGTCTTCCCTTCTTCTCAGCGCCTTGTGGGGGAGACCTGACGGGACCATCGGGGGTCATCCTGTCTCCAAATTACCCCGAACCCTACCCACCGGGCAAGGAGTGTGACTGGAAAGTGACCGTCTCGCCGGACTACGTCATCGCCCTGGTATTTAACATGTATGTACCTTTCCCCTGAGTGGGAGACGGAAGGGTTCGGAGCAGCTAGGGGTTTCAGACCCGGGTGTCCAGGCGAGTAGACACACGTCTCCTGTGAGCAGAGTTCTGCATTCCACGGGAGGTATGGGAGTCCGAAAAAGCAGAGAAATTGCGTTTACGGAGTGTTTCCTCTGAGGTTTCACATATATCTTATTTAGTCCTTATCATGACTTATGAAGTAGCTATTATTATTATTTTATTATTTTCTTTTTTTTATCTCTGAAGATGTTGAGGTTCAGAAAGTAGGGAGGGCCGTGCTGGATCCTTTCGTGCTGCCCGCCTGCATTTTCCTCCTCTGCTCTCGCCTAGCTCCTGCCAGCAGCACACTCCCCAGCGTACAAACAGGCTCGGGTTTTTCTCAGGGGCTCCCCCATCTAGCTCCTGCACTATGTTCTTTATTCCTTTTAGCAGCAAGGTCTTCAAAAGAATTGTCTCAGCTTTCCTCTCTTTTCTCCCCTCCTGTTTCTTCCATAACCACTGAAATCTGGTCTCTGCTTCCACGGTTCCACTGGCAACTCCTCTGATAAAAGGCACCAACAAACTCCTGGTTGCCAAACAAAATGGAACTTTCCACGTTTCATCCTCTGGCACCTCTTGTTCCCTCCCTTCGTCCTCACCCTGCGTTTTCCCCTTGGGTTTTGTGAAGTTCTTCCCCTCTAGTTCTCCAACTTCTTCTGTGACTTCGCGCCTTCCTTTTCATGCCTCTCATCCTTTGCCAGGAAATATCATAGGCCTTTTTTTCTTCTCATCCACACTGCCTTCCTGGATAAGCTCATCCACTCCCATGGCTTTTGTCTCATAAATGAGAGACTCTCCTTCCAGACTTTTCTTTTGAGCTGCAGCTTCCTATATCCAACTGTTGGATGTCTCTGTCTGGTGCCTGCAGCTACCTCGGCTGCCACACCGTAAGCATGTCGCTCTCCCCACAAACGAGCTCCATTCTGAACATTGGGGAGGGGCGCCATTGTCCACTTTTACTGCTTCTTCTGTTAGTGACCAAGGTGTGGGGTCTGTGCTGCCTTAACACACTTCGTATTTTCCCGTCTTCTCCATCCTCCCAGCTATTATCTTGATGAAGCCCTATTATTTCTGCCACAGTCTCCTAACTGGTTCCTCTGCCCCCGTCTTGCCTCCCATGCCAATCTCTCCTTTAGCTAGAGTGTTCCTGCCATGCAAAGCTGTTCAAATAACCACCACATTTTCCATCTTAACACACGATGGAAATATACTCCTCGGCAATAAAAAGGAATGAGCTACTGATACATGCAGCAACATGGATGAATCTCCGAACATCACACTGAGTGAAAGGAAATAGACACACACAAAAAGTATGATTCCACTTGTATGACATTTTAGGATCAACCAAACTAATGTATGGTGAGAAAAATCTGTTCAGTGGTGGCTTCTGGCATGGGGAAGATTGACTGAGAAGGGGTACCTGCAAACTTGGGATGGTAGAAATATTCTGGGTCTTGAAATATATGTCAAAACTGATAGAGGGGTACACTTCATAGCTAATCATTTTACAGTGTATAAATTATGCCTCAATTTAAAAGCAAAGAAACAACAAACAAATAGATCTCTTATTTTAAAATCCTAAAGGACTCCTTCCCTATCAAGTAAAGTCCAAACTTTTGAGTTTCGCTCCAAGCGATCTGGCCCCTGCCTACCTCTCTACTCGGTCCCCCGACCCCATCCTAACCCCTGAGCTGCAGCCAGACTGAAGTACTAGCAGTTTCCAAGACTATTTCATGCCCTTGTGACTTTGCCTCTGCTTCTCCCTTCACAGTGGCCTCCTTGTCCCTCCTCATCTAACCACTGAGTGTCTTTTTCATCTCCCAGGACTCAGCTCCAGTTTGGCCTCCACGAAAGCTTCATTTTCTCCTCCCCGAGGAACTTCGTGTTGTGACCCTATTTGCCTATACCGACTTTAGACTGTGCTCTGTCATCTTCACATCCGTCGCTTCCTTTAGCCCCATCGCCATCTCGAAAGGGTGGTGTCTGACATATCCCCATGTCCTGAGCACCTCGCACAGCGCCCAGCATATTCGGGCACTCAGATAAAATCTGATGACTCGCGGAAGGCAGGGACAGTAGGAAGGCAGTTAGGAAAGAGCGGAACCATAATTTGTGACCAAGACTTACCCATTCCCAAACCCTTCCCTGGTAACTTGTGGAACAGCAAATGGGTGGAAGCTGAATTATGGGGGCAAGAAGACCATCACCACCCAGCAATGATGGGGTGACACTGCGGCTGACACGAGTGTGAGAGGGTGCCATGTGGGAAGGGGACCAGTGCACATCTGGCCCTACTCTCCCATCTCTTCTCTCTGCCAGCCCTGCCTCTTTTGTCCTAGAAATGCCGTGGCCCCCTCTCTCTGCCATATGTCTCAGCCAAAGGTTAGAACCGCATTTCATTCTCAGTCCAGCCAAATCGAGGATCACAGCCTGTGGCTGGGCTATGAATAAGTTTGCATCAGAAATCTGTTCTCTGCAAACTCCTTTGCTTTCATTCTGTTGTCTTCACCTTCGCATACTTGATTGGTACCAATTGCCTTTGCAGACATACATATCTAAGAGTGGAATGACTGCGTCATAGGGCGAGCGTATGTCCAGATCCAGTAGATATTGGGAAACAGTTTTCCAAACCAGTTCAAACTCCCCCAGCAGAGTATGAGAGCTTCAGTGGCTCCACATTCTTGCTAATCTGTGGTATTTTCCATCATTTTCACTCTAGCCATTCCAGTGGGATAAATTACATTGGAGAACTCTAATATTCAATTTACTCAACGAAGAAAGTTTTTTAAATGGATTTTTCCCTACTAGGGTCAGGATAGCTAAGAAAGAGGCACAGTTGTGGGTGCCAGAAGTGGGGTGGTAGCAGATCCCAAGGAGAGCTGAGAACTAGCCGGTGGATACAGGAAGGAAGCCGGAGTCCTCCGAGGGAGCAGGCCCCTTCCTGCCCGGGAATGGCCCCCTGGGTGGCCCTTTCTCCCTTGGGAAAGAAGATGCAGCATAGCATAATATAAAGATGTTTGAGGCAGAGAAGAGACCTGGGCTCTGGACCTACTCTGGCTGACCATTGGGTGACCACTGGTAACTCATTTTCCCTTCTATGCACAGTATACTGAATATAGACCACAATGTTGTACTGTAACCACCCAACTTGCTAAGAGACTAGATCACAATTATTCCAACCATTAAAAAGCAATGATCATTGTGACGGGATAGAGGTGCTCATCATCACTACGATGTCAATCATATTACAATATAGGAATGTGTGAGTCGACATATTGTATACCTTAAAATTACACAATGGCAAGTGTCAAATATATTTCAATTAAAATATTTTTTTAAGGAAAAGAGAATGTTAGGTTTGCAGCTCCAGCTTTCTGGATGCCGACTCTGGAATCTGCCTCCTCTGCCCCCGAGCCTACCTTATCCGTCTTTTCGTGCAGCTGGGAGGTCATGGGGCTTCATCCTGCCCCTCCCCACTGGGAATCCCGGGGGTTGGATGCCACTGGGATGGAGAGCTTGCTGACTGGGAGGCCCTGTCCTTTGGCTGAGGCCAGTACGAGCCTTTCTTTGACCTTAGTGGGGTGGGGACGGGATGTTTTTGTTCCCCAGCTTTAACTTGGAGCCCGGCTACGACTTCCTTCATATCTACGACGGACGAGACTCTCTCAGCCCTCTCATAGGAAGCTTCTACGGCTCCCAGCTGCCAGGCCGCATCGAGAGCAGCAGCAACAGCCTCTTCCTCGCCTTCCGCAGCGACGCCTCAGTGAGCAATGCTGGCTTCGTCATCGACTACACAGGTAAGGGCCCTGGTGGCAGAGACTACTGAGGGCAGGGCCATCCAGACCTGGCAGCGGGGAAGCTGGAGGGGAGTGAGGAGCGCATTGGGCTGCTTCACAGGGGGCCCACGCCAATCCTGGCGCCATTGCCACCTGCCAAGCACTTGCCTTCCCTGTGGCCCTCCAGGTAGCTTAGCCTTTCACACACATGTGCCCCAGGCCTGGGGAGAAAAGGGCCAGCATTCTCCTTACACCTCATTTCTATTTCTACATCTTTACTCTTTTCTCCTTTTTCTGTGATGGTCATTCCTAGGTCTTTCTCAGTCTCACAACCTCAGCCCGTACATATCAACTAACATCTTCCTGGTCACTCCCCTGCATTTGCTGAGGTTTATGAGATGAGGCTCAATCTTCCTCTCTACTCCAAAGCCTCCCACCACCCCGGCTAACTTTAGAGCCCATGAGGACAACCCATCCAACTCCTGGGGTCACAATGCCTGGACTTCTGTTCCAAGGACACTCCTTGGCCATACTCTGGATGCTTTCTGATACTTCTCGATCACAGTTCCTCATCCCTCTAGCTCCCCCATCCTTTTATTCTCATTGCACTTTTAGATTAACCAAGACAGATTGAATCGTGGAGGGCTCAAGAGCAGAGGGTGGCAGATTTTTTCTTAAAGGGCCAAAGAGGAAATAACTTAGGCTACGAGCCACATCATCCACAGCCACTCAGCTCTGCCACTGTAGCACTAAAGCGGCCAAAGAGAGAATACGAAGGAATGGGTGTGGCTGTGTTCCAGGAGAAATCTACTTGCAAACAACAGGCCTGGTTAAGATTGTCCGATTAACTGAATTCAGGGCTCATGCTTTCCACTTAGCAGCTGTGTGAACTTGGGCAAGATAATTTAATCACTTGAAAACTTCATTTCCTCTTCTATAAAATGATGGTGGAATAATTCCTATCTCACAGAAATATAAAGATCGATGAGATTCACGCATCAAAGCTCTTGGTGCGGCGCCTGACACATCTCAAGCATTCCGTAATGGTCAGGTAGCGGCTGTCTTAGTCATAAGGGCAGTTCCTGGCTCTCAAGCACTCCGCTTTCTTCCACTCTGTTATTCTCTTTTTGACCTTTTCTTCTTCCCTAATTATCCCAGAAACCATTATCCAAATTCTAGCTCCATTTCTTGCTTGATTTGTGAGCTTGGCAAGTTATCTCTTGGAACCCATTTCTCCATCTATGAAATGGTGGTAATAATAATTATGTTGCAGAAGGTTAAAATTAAAAGATATTATGTACTCTCATATGTATGAGTATAATATTCAGTATGTACTAAACACTCTACAGATACTCTAGAGATGATCGATTTTGTTATTGTTACTGTAACCCAAGTTCACCCAAGCCTCATCAGCCTGTGTGTACAAATGGAGTCACATTACCAGTTAAAATTAAAAAGTTTCTGGCTCATGTCCCCAATTGCATAACGTAGAAACCTCAGCAACCTTTTAAAGTGCCCTTTAATTAAATATTTTTGGCAACTCCTGAGAATATCTCACATGGGATCACAAATAATATCAATCACAATAACAGCTAATTTAGTGTCTATCAACAGCTGACACTGTCCTAAGCAATTTCCATCCGTCAACTCCTCGAAATCTTTGTAACTATCAATTGTCTGCTGTTTGTCTGCTGTTACAGTTCTAGAAGGCACCCGGTGTACAGATGAGAGAACGTTTTGCTTGTGGTCTTCTTTCCTTGTGTGGCTGGCCTGAGAAGTGGGTATTTTGCCATCCTCTCTTCCTCTGGACACCTGTCATTCGATAAACCTACTGTATTCAAACTTTTCTCCACGTGCTGATATCAGAACGAACTCTATCTCAGGCTGTGGAATTCTAACAGAAGGCTTGACTTCGACAAAGCCTGGGACCCCGTCACTCCAGCCCCTGCTCTCTTATCATCGTCATCATTTTTCTTATTATTCCCCTCTCTAATCACACCCTCATCAGTACCCTCAATTATCCTTCCCTGTGGGCCTTCGATTGGGTAGACCTTAAAAAACTGCACTCTTTGTTACAACCACACCCAAGTGGCTGAGCATAGCAAGAAAAAAAATCACACAAACATGGCACTTGGAGCCACCTCAGATAATATCCTTTAACCCCAGCCAAGCCTTAGCAACCACCAGAGCGACTTCTGACTTGTCCTACCAGAGGCTTCTCCGTGGTGTAGATTCTGAAATTTCACACCAAATGTCACCACATACAAGACGATTTCATTTCACCATCCCTGGGTATAGTAAGTTACCGGGTCGAAAATCTCTCAGCTTCCTCCCTAGTCATCTTGCTCATGGTCACCTGTCTGTGGCCACCTCTCTCATAGGTCTTCTCCACTGACTCCCTGGGCTAGAGCCACACCCCCAGGTCCTCTTTCCCAAAGAAGCCCTTTGCACTTTCCACTGTTGGCCCAAGACCATATCTAGAGGGGTCCTCAGGCCCAAAACACAGCCCCAGAGAATAAGGCCTACTCAGCTGTCATGGGAGCCAGCCGAGTGGCTGAAGGAAGCCAGTTACTGAGGAACGGGGAGAGGTGAGGCACAGCCACCTCCTTATTAGGATCTGTGGTACCAGTACCAAGATAAATGTGTCTTTTGGGGGCAGGAGTTACCTGGTGATACCTGGAGCTGCCTTCCATTCTTCTCAGATTGTACATCCCCTAATATTAGTCACCTCTCTACTGTGTCTTTCAGTGTCTGGTTAGGTAATCCATTTGCTGGGAGCCAGGGACCTCTGCCTTACCCTGTGGTCTCCTTTTTCTTATCCCAAGATCCCTGGATGTCTGGAATGGGTCTACTCTGCTACCTCAACGATATTCCCCCACGTTCAATATCTTCATAAGGGTGGCCTCCATCCCTAATTAACTGTAAGGCATTAAACAAGTTGCTTAATTTCTCTGAGCATCGCCTCCAAATCTTTCAAAGAGGGACAGTGTACTGTGTGAAAGAGTGGTGGTGAGGTGTGGTAAATGGGCTCAGCACCTCACAGAGTGCCCGGTGCTGGTAGGTACTTGGTACATACTTATCCACCCTCTTCCATCTCATTGCCTTGTTTCCTATATAATGGTTGTTTCATTTGCTCTGCCCTTGTGTGGAAGGGGGAATGGTTTGTACCCCTTTTCATGGGGCTAGCCCTGTAGAGCTAGGTACATTTTCTCATTTGATCATTGAAAATTATAAGGTGTGATTATGATGTTTTGCACACATATATGTATGAGGGTTGAATACAGGCATACCTCAGAGGTTTTGTGGGCCTGATTCTAGACCACTGCAATAAAGTGAATCAGACCATTTTTTTTGTTTCCTAGTGCATATAAAAGTTATATTTATACTGTACTGTAGTCTGTTAAGTACACGATAGCATTGTCTAAAAAAAAATGTACCTATCTTAATTTAAAATATTTTATTGCTAAAAAATGCTAACCCTCACCTGAGCCTTCAGGGAGTTCTAATCTTTTTGCTGGCGGAGGGTCTCGCCTCGATTTTGTGGCTGCTGACTGACTGGGGTGGTGGTTGCTGAAGGACAGGGTAGCTTTGGCACTTACTTAAAATAAGACAGTGAAGTTTGCTCTATCTATTGACTCGTTCTTTCATTTAAACACTTAGAGGCTATTGTAGGATTATTAATTGGCCTAATTTTAATATCATTGTTGTGTCTTGGGGAATAGGGAGACCTGGGGAGAGGGAGAGAGATGAGGGTACTGCTGGTCGGTAGAGCGGTCAGAGCACACACATTTATTGATGAAATTCACCATCTTCTACGGGTGCAATTTGTGGCACCCTCACCCAAAAATATTATAACGGTAAAATTCAAACAATACAGAAGCTTATAAGATGTACTCTAAATACCTATCAGCCTCTATAACTACCATCATCTGAGTACCATCAGTAACGATTTGTTATCTCATTCCAGATATTTTATGTAACTAAAAGTAACATAAATTCTAGACTAGGGGTTGGCAAATTTTTCCTGTAAAAGGCCAGATAGTAAATATTTTAGGCTTAGCAAGCCAGTTAGGCTCTGTTGCATCCGCTCAACTCCGTTGTTGTAATGCTAAAACAGCCATAGACAATATGTAAACAAATGGGCATGGCTCTGTGCCAATAAAACTTTATTTGCAAAAGCAGGCAGGGAGCCTGTGAACTGTAGTTTGCTGATCCCTGTTCTATATGAATGGGATAACATCATATGTACTAATCTAACATGGATGGTTATTGTTTGTTTGTTTGTTTGTTTGTTTGCTTTGTTTTGTTTTTTGCCCAACAATAATATAGATCTTGGACATCTTTCCATGTCAGTATTCAAAGACTTCCACCATTCTTTTTAAAGGCTGCTTGTATTTCAGTGGTGGCTCTGATTCAACCTTTTAAACCAGTTCTTTACTGGTTGAGTGTTTGGGTTGTCATTTTCAATCTTTGCTATTAGAATGTTTGGAAATAACCCTCATCTAATAGGACGAAAAGAAGCTGCTTCTTTTAATTTCCTCATTTTGGAGGGCTTGGGTTTTATTCATTATTATCATCACGATGTTTTAGTCATTTGGTTTTAGCATTCACAGCTAAGCTCTGGTTTGGCAAGCTGAAGACCTGATTTTGGTCTTAATTCTACCAATTAATAGTTGAATGGCTTGGAAAACTTATTCAGCCTCTCTGATCATCACATTCCTCATTGATAACCTGAACAGGAACATACCTGGCCCTGCCTGCTTCAGAGGCCATTGTGATATACAAATGAGGTAACAGATTGAAAAGTGCTTTGAAAATTATAAAGTGATATTCATATGTAAGATGCTATCATCATTATCATTATCTGTATCATCATAATTAATGTGATAATGTTGGAATGGTGAGCTCTTGCTCTGATGTGTAGCTATAGAACAGAGTCTGTAGTTGGAATCTTTGATGTGGTTGTTGATTTTCCAAGCCTTGAGGTATTCGGCAAATCAGTTCAGCATTCATTTATTAAGCCTCTATTGTGTACCAAATAGAGCCAGCCCTAGTGCCAGCTCCTGTGCTTGTTGCCTGGGTTACAAGAAGAACAGGTGATGGTCTCTGTCCTCTAGGAGTTCAGAACCCACTGGAAAGAAACACACTTACCTAAACTACCAATACAATCTCATAAAAAAGAAAAACAGAATTCTACCAGAGAGGTGAAATTCAGGAAACTTGCTCAGGAGAGAATGGTCTTGAAAAGTGTAAGTTTGCTGTACAGGGAAGGGAAGAAAGGACTTTCTGGCATTGTGTAGAGTTCCAGGGCGGTCATATCCAGCTGGGGTCCAATGCCAGTGCAGCGGTTACCTAAAAGCACAGTTGCTTCTATGAGGTAGACATTTATTCCCTTTCCGCAAAAGAAATCTGGAGACTGTCATCCAAGGCTGCTGAGCTGGCTCCGCCTAGGCTCCTTTTGTTCTTTCTGTTCTACTATGCTAGTATGTGGCTCCCACCCTCAAGGTTATCTCAGGTTCCACTGGAGGTCCAGCCATGACGTCTGAGTTCTAGACTGCGAGGAGGAAGGGAGTAAAGAAGGAAGGGCCAAAGCATTTTCTCAGCTAAGTCACCCTCCCTTGAGCAACTTTTCTAGAAATCCCATCATTATCCATTTAAGAAATATTTGTTAAGTGCCTACCATGTGCCCAGCACTGGACTACAGTAGTGTCCTCATGGAACCTACATTCTAGTGGAGAGAGATAGAAAAAAATAAGGCAAATCTATAACACATGAGATCGTGCTGATCCCAGTGCAGAGAAAAAGAAAAAAAAAGCAGGGAAGAGTGGTAGGGAGTGTTGGCGGGAGGAATATTGAAATTTTAAATAGCTGGTCGGGGAAGTGGCACCGAGAGAGAGACATTGAGTGAAGTCCTCAAAGAAGTGGAAGAGGAGCCGTGAGGATGGGGGAACGTTCTGTGCACAGAGGCCAATGTGGTTGGAGCAAAGTTACCAAAGGAACAATGGGAGTCGAGGCCATAGATGGGAGGACTGGAGCCAGAATGTGCAGGGCCTGGTCAACCTATTAAGATTTTGGCTTTTACTCTTAATGAGACAGAAGGCTATTATCTGATCTGACTGTGTTTATATCTCCGACCAGACCTAGTTGTCCAGGAGGCTAGAAGGTGTCCATTGTAGTTGGCGCCTTGATACTCTTTATAAAATCTGGATTGTTATTTAAGGGGCAAGGGGAAATGAGTATTGGGTGCCACAGCTAGTTATGCTTCTAACGAGCTCTGTGAATTTGGTCCCAAGTTACTTAATTTATTGGAACTTCAAATAAGATTTGACCCAGTTTGAATTTATAAAAAGGACAGATGAAATAGAAGACCTGGTGACAGTTCCCTGTCTCTCTGTGATTTGCATGCAGATCACCCAATGGCAGGTTGTATTCTTGTCAGAGACATTAAGTTTAGGGGGAAGACAGATTTGATGTTGGGGTCAAGGGGACAGACACATCACAGGACACACAATGAAACCACCAAGGAGTCCTCTACTAGGTGAGGGACCATTTTCTGGGTTCAACTTGAGTTTAAATTTAGTGGTCTATCTGGACTGCTCCACCCTTGATATGGGAAAAGACAAAGAGCAGGGCCCTCATCAGGGCCCCAGAGCACGCATGGCTGGGCTCAGCAGGATCACAGATTCTCAGAGCCCCCTTCCATCAGTCAACCAGCTGATTGGCAGCTGAACGACACTCTCAAGTCATGGCTGCCTCTTGTATAGGTAGCTTAAAAGGCACCCAGGTGACAATGACAGCTGTCAGCAGATTTCCTCCTGAGCCATTCATCTCTGAACTCTGATCCCTTCTACTCTGGCTCTTTCCTCCTTAAATCTGCTCTTTGAATTTGAGTCCTTCTGCAAGAGCTGTCAGCACCTCCTCGTGAGCCCCCATCTCTAGACCTCTCTGTAGTGTAGCCTCCAGCACTCTGATGGAACCCAGTTGCATTTCCCTGATAATGGCCAGCCTCAGCTGTGTCCTGACACTGCCTAGCCCTGACGACAGACCTCTTAACCATGAGTGGTCCTGGAACAAGGAGGGTGAGGAAAGGCAGCAGGGGATGGAAGTGAATGTTGGCTCCCACCTACTACTC